ATAGCCTTATCATAATTATTTTTGTTTGCATTAATTCATGCAAAATCATGAAAGATTAACAAGTCCAATGGACACGAGACAATCTTACAGTGAAGCTGATTATACTAGAATTCCATGCAAGAATCTCATTCTCTTCACTGAGATGTTTCATAAGGATTCCAGCCTGCTAATCCAATAAGTTAGAATAACTAAATCCATAAGTATTAAGTGGTATGTATGTAAATCATCCATTTCATAAATTTGGAAAACACAACAGACATCCAATCACATACAAATCCAAACTAAACAATGAGGACAATCAACCACAAGTAATTAATGCATCTCATTGACTCAAGAACAAAGCTATTCATGCATGAAAGCCAAATATTGCACCAAAATAAAAGACCATAGATAATTACTCATTCCATGATAGGTAGCCTAAAGCCTCACATTATATTAAAGCCAACCATGAATACTTCACAGAAATGTTTGGAATTCCAAGAGGAATTATAGTCTTACATATAAGGATCTGAGATGCATTCGAATGTTAAATAAAGGAGGTGTGTTAATTCAAGAATCACAAATTGCATCTATTATAAGCTCCCTCAGAACAATCATCTCATCTGCACCTTTGTAAACTTGGGTGTTAAAATCTTCTGCCTCCATTACTTCATCCGGTATGGACTGCCCAACCTGGAATTTGAATGCTTCAGGCGGTATATGCTTGTCATCGGCGTCAACCATGTCCAAGTCCGTATCCGAATGAGAGGGATGCCTTCTAATGAGATTGTGGAGCATCATCGTAGCCTTAACAATATGTACCTATTTTTTGAAATGGATACATCAGCATATCACATAGAATGACCCATTTCTTCTTCCATACTCCAAAATTCTATTCAATTACCCCACGTAAGGAAGAGTGACGTTTCTTGAACATCTCTTTCCTACCATGTGCTACACTACTTGACCTCTCGAAATCAGGAATGTGATACTTCCTATCTACAAATGGCTTTAAATACCCTTTTTGTAAAGGATATCCGGCGTTCACCAAATAATATTTGTCTGACACCAATTACACTAATAGTGACCCTTGAAAAAAAAATCCAATAAATTAATCAAAGTTAACATACCTTGAGGCGGGTGTCGGAAGCATTGTCGGTTGTTAATTGCCGTAAAGCTAAAAAGACGGTTGTCTTCTGCACTTCCTTCCCATCGGACCATCACAAATGTGAAGCACATGTTGATTTACATACAACCATTACATTGTGTGGGTGAACCACACTATCCAATGTACATGACCTTTTCATCGCTTGGGAGTCGGGCATCGACGTGCATACCGTCAATTGCCCCAATACAAATATGTATTGATTTGTTAGTAATCTCAACGACATCATATAAATTATATTATGAAATGAAAAGAACAAATTGAATAAACTAATCTTGAAAAATGGCATATTGCGCGTGTCATTGGCTATTTTTGTGGGAGTTCTATTGAAAGTTGGATCTTCTGGCTTAATTACGTGTGAAGCTAGGCAAATTAGTGCTCTTATACAAGTAGAGAAATATCAACTTATTGTCTCTAATGAATGCTAAAATCATTCCATAGCTCCTCTGATTGATTCATTTTCAGATAAAATAAACAACGTAATTCCCAAAGCTTCTCTTATAGTAGTTCTGGCCAAACCTACAAGGCCGTGATTCATTCATATTTCATCCAAAAGATCCAAAAAATGGGTACGGACATGCGAAATATGTTTCTGAATCTTACAAGATGTTCAGCAAGCATCTCACCCACGCATTTATCTCAATAAATGTCGAGGTCATTCACAGTGTTTGTACTCTGTTTGAGTGGTAGTACTCTTATAACATTATAAGAATTGTCGCAGCCATTCTTTTACGGCATTCTCGGTATAACATTTGCCGCCGCCAATCCATCCTGTATGAATGATGTATTATGCATAAACAATTTTTTAAAGGAAAGACAAAGAAATCAAACAAATATAAAAAAAAAAAACTTGTTCCTAAGAATATACTACTCCAAAAAAAATCAAAAAAAATTGTGCATATCAAAGACTTCACTTAAAACTTAAAGAAAAATATCCAATACAATAAGCAAATACAGTAGACACGAGATATGAAAATGTCATTTATCAATTAAGAGAAGCAAATAATCAAGATGCAGCTCAGGACAAAGCCTCTTGAAAATTGTCCTACGGGTTGGGTCCTCGAGAACCCTAACACATTATATGCAGAATATAGGATCAACAAGAACTTCTGGAATTTCATCTAAAAACTCATAAATCCATCAATAGTGGGATCATCTGCCACTTGTTCACTTGATATCAGAGCTTTAAAAATAGTTATCAGTTTATTAATTGAGCTCTGCATGAAAACATCTTTATTTTTTTCTTTTTTTCCCACCTTAGGCCTCTTTGATTGGCCAGTTGACTCAAGCTCCCTAGGATTTATGCTAGGGCCTTCACGTGAATCAATAACCTGATCGGGGAGCACGTCAACTGAGATGTCAGTGAAGCCCTACTCACTGGGGTTGAATGCATGCTGACCCGTAGCGCTGACCCGTAGCGACAACACTCCCTTGAACATAACATCTAATTTATCTTCCAAGTCCGGCTCAATTCTGTAAGCCTTAGTTTTTTTTGCATTTGGTACTGCCTGCAACAAGAAAGGGGGAGGGGGTGTGAGCATATTAGACAAAATAGAAGTATAAATGTTAATTAATTGAGGAGTTTGCAAGGGTACAATTATTACCTCTAACTTCTCATTCCACCATTCCTCTGAAGCATCTACGGTGCGCTTGACAGGATCCCAACCCAATCTCGTCGATCCTCATTTAAGTTCCTTCCATAATTTTCAGTCATTCTTTAGTTAATTCCACTTGTTTTTGAATTTCAATCTATCGTAGTGCCACCATATTATTTCTTTAGTTTTTTTTTGGAAATATTCTGCCACCCTTGTTTGTTGAAGTAGGTGGTAGGTCTATTTCCAAGTTCAATCTCTTTAATACAGAGACTGTAAGAAAAGTATGTCAGATCCTTATCCCACATTGCTGATGTAGTCCTTTGTTTATTTTTATTCATAATGCAACTATTGAAACATATAGCATCAAGATAGTGCAATAGCATTGAAAGTAAAATAAAACATCAAGAGAAACAATGACAAATATAAAGAGGAACAGAAGAATAAGCAAATCTTGAAAAGTCCACCATCATCCACCACATCCAACCATAAAGTTCAAGCTTGCTCGCTTAAAATTCATCTAAACTATAATCTAACAACTAGTCAGTAATCTAACAACTAGTCAATTTATCTAGAGGGTCAATCAAATAATCCATCAGTTTACAAAAAAAACTTATCTAAAATTTAGATGAGTTGAAAATTTAAGTAGCTTTGACTATACTTTACTAGATACAATGATTGTGCAACTTATAGCAAGAATAACATATCGAACATATCCAACAAGACTAATAAATCGATTGATAAAAGCATCTAACAATAATAACATATCGAAGATGTCCAACAAAAAAAAAAATATTGTTTCCTACAACAATCCAACAAGAATAATATATGGAAGTTGTCCTACGCATGAGTGTTCACCAAGATCTATCAATTTCATCAAGGAAAACAAGGCAATAGCATTACAAAATGGAAAAGTATTTAAATAAGAACTAACAGATCTACACATTTCATAAACATGTACAGAAGGAGCCATACACATTCCCAAATCAGATTCACCCGAATCCTTCTACAACAAAAAAAAGAAAAAAAAAATGCAAAAGATCAGAGGCGCTGCTTAACATAGTGCAAAGGTTGAAACGAGTTTCCAAAGCCAACTTCCACAGCAAAAACACAAACGATCAGAGAAGCAGAGGATCAGCAGAGGATCAAGGAGGAAAAAAAAAAGTTACCACAAAGAACGATTGCCAAAGATAGAGACTGAGGAGTGCTGCGACGTGTGGAATCAACTCGCCACTTGTTGCGAAATTAAGGCAGAGGAGATGGAGGAGGGGCGGTAGGCGTTTTTCGATAATATTAAACGCGGATCGCGGGTAGGACCCGCGTCTAATACTAAAATCATAATGAAGTTTTAGAAAAAGCTGTAGGAATGCTATTTACAAACAAGTGATGACGTTTTAAAGTTGCCACCGCTGCAAATAAGCTGTCCCAAACGGACCCTAAATCATTACAATACCTCCAAATCCCACTACTAAACCACCACATTATTAACATAATACAACCTCAATCCAATCTCAATACAAACAAAATATCAATCCAATAATACCACAAACAACTACAATACCACCAGAAGAATAGAACAATACTAGTATAAGATCACAATGCCACCTCAAAATTACCACAATACCCAAAAAAATAACAATTACAGTAAATACCACCAAAAAACATCACCAACATAATAACTTTACAATAAAACCACAAAATCATCACAAAAAATGTCAGAAAAGTAACATAATATCATTGATTCAGCCGACGGAGAAAATCAAACAAGCATTCAAACTTCTCGTCATTATTTTCAAATTTCATTTCAATGTTTCTCACTTGACGTGTTTTTCACAAATAACATAGGGTCATCATCTTAACCCTGACCGGAGAATTACAAGAAAACCTTCCGACCACAAGCAAAATGCTAGCTCTTTGATAGGAAATGAAACTACACGCCGAATTTTTAACTGTACACTTGATTTTGAGTAGCGCACCCAAATATTAAGAAGTGCAGCATATTCTTTCCTAATTTTCGGGCCAAATTACTCTCCAACACACACACACATACACACACGTGGCGCAAGCCGTGGCATGTCGGTAAGGTCATAAGTCCCCTCAGGTCACGTGGGAATCTCCCTCTTCCGAGTTTACCGATAGTAAGAGCGGTCCTCAAATAATTACTCAAAAGAAATAAATAAATATATATATATATATATATA